AGAAAGTAGAGTCATAGATGCGCTTTGTGTGATCTCGTTTGAAGAACATATTTCAGACAGGCGCTGTTTTTGTAAGAGTGCCCATCATCACACACCCAAACCCTGCCGATCTGAAACTCGACACACTTTGAAACATCACAGTGAGGTCGGAGAAGCTGGGGGGGGGGGGCAGAATCAAAATTGCAAATGTATCCTAACCTGTGAGCAAGCTCTACAAGAATCTGCCTCGGCACAGGCTGCAGTGGAGCATTGTTTGTTCTCCTGAAATGTCTGCTGTCAGCTGTTTTTAATCATTTATTGCGAGCGTCAGGATGGAGCTTACTGTGCTGGTATTTAAAGGGGAATTCTGGGATTATAAACCCGGGCACTACTTCTTCTCATTATTGGGTCTAACTGACAAAAGGTTTGTGGGGGGGGGGAAGCTCCAGTTCCCTGCCAGTGAAATGTGTGTTTTTATCAATGGAGTTTGGTAGTTGTCAGAGCTGTGTCTGATCCATCAAGATAATCTCCCTCTTTGACAAAAAAAAGCTCTGTAGGGATCCCTTTCTGTGATGTTGTCACACACCTACGATAACAATCAGAGCCTGTCTGTCAGTGACAAAAAAACAGAGCTTTTAGTTTTACTTTTACTTTGATCCGAGCATTTGCTCCCACGGATTGTGTTCAAAGGACACTGACAACATTAGAGAAAGGATCCCTAATGAGATAAACCATTTTACTTCTTGACCCCAGAATCAGCTGTGATTCTGCTCTCTGCAGACAGACTCCATTGACAAATACTGGTACAGTACTTTCAGGACATGGGAGTCGCTGGTCTACCTTAATCCCTTATTTTTCTTTTACTGGTCGTGTAAGAATTAGACAGTTCCTTTTAGCTACCTGGTGGACTCACTTCGCCCCACTATATTAGAATGAGCCCTTTCACAGTGAGGAAGCCGTTTCTGTATTGCACAATCATGCTACAGGTGGATGAGCTCCACCTGGGCCTATACATTCAAACTGGGACACGCCCCTGATTCAGTTACTGTATTTGTAACATAATAGGTTAAACAAATGTTCTCCTTCGTGTGTCTGCTTTGTCTGAATGATGGAAATTAAAATGATGATCTCTTCATCATAATGTTGTAACGCGGGTAAGAAAGTTTGCGTAAAGGTGTAACAGGACTCTTTCAGGGAGGGGCAGCCAGCAGCGGTCTGCACAGCGTCTCCGTTAAACAAGAGTTAGAAGTTTGGAAAAAGAAAAAGAAAAAGAAAAAGGGAATCAGAGTGATCTGTAGGAGTCTGGATTTTTTTTTTGGATGTCAAATGTCTGTTAAGTAACACAGAAACAGTTAAAGTCTTGTTGTCCGCTGGAAGTTTCTCCTCAGACGCATTTTTTTCCGCCTGCGTGAGATGGCGCGCCTGCAGCAGGAAACCGTCCTGTAATGACTCTGGACGCTCCCAGCCTGTCACCATGTTAAAAAAACCCCCACTTCTGATCTCAATCCGCGTTAATATTTCACTTTGAACAAACTTCCCACATCACAAGAGTTTTTAAGGATTAGCTTCGGTGTAGTGTAAAAAAAGTGTAAAAGTTTTTTTTTAAAAGTTCCCAAACTTCGCCCAGCTGTCCCTCAGGTAATGTTTCCTCACTAACAGCGGGATAATGTGTGCGTTATTTCTTACCTGAGCCATGTCTGCGTTGAGTTTACTGTCTTTTCGTTCTGCGTGTCTCTCTGCTGGCTGTGTGTGTGTGTGTGTGTCTCTGAGTGAGTGTGTGTGTGTATCTGTGTGTGTGTCAGTGGATCATTGCTTCTGTCACCAGCTGGCAGCCGTCCTGGATCCTCCCTCAGCCGGGAGGAGGGAGCTGAGCTGCAGCCCGGGAGGCGATACCTCCAACAACCTTATCGTCTACCTTTTCTCAAACACACACACACACACACACACACACACACACACACACTAAGTTGTTAATGTTGTTCTCTGGACGTAACTCTTGTTAAAGTTTAAGAATATCTGGAGTGAAATGTTCACAGTGAGCCGCAGGACTCATCAGCTCTCTGCTCCACATCTGGAAACTTTTAGGAAACGTTGGACCGCGATGTTTTGCGCAACAACTGCCTTCATGTCGAGGCTGGTTTTCTACTTCTCCTCCACACTGTCACTGTGTTAACCTCTTAATTGCCTGATATTTCAGGAGACTGTACTGTCTAACCTGGGTTGACTCCTTTTTTTTTTTTTTTTAATGTGATTATATGGCGCGGTGTGTAAATGATTAACAGCTCAAACATTTATTGAAATTCCCCGCAGGACTTCTGTGCCTGAATGAAACCAGTAAAAGGTGATGACATCATTCTGATTTTTATGACCCCATAAAAAAAATGTTTTTACCTTGTAGAATGGGGGAGTTGTTGTTGTTGTTGTTGTTGTTGTTGTACATTTGCCTCTTTTAGTTTTTGTTTCTGTGTGACTTTTTGGTTTTAATCTACGGAAGCTCTAAGAGGACATACACCCATACATTTTACTTAATTAAATCAATAGTCTAAGTCTAGATCTAGAAAACAACCACAATGTACTCGTTATCATGGATTTATATGAAAGGGGTTTGATGCATGACTGTTTGACTTTCATATAAAACCAAGCAACAACATCCGCAAGAGCAAAACCCTGCAGTTCACCGAGTGTCCACTAGAGGCTGGCTGCAGAAGCACAGGAAGTCACAAAAAAAAGTCTGTTTTTACAGCAGAGATTATGGTAACATGTTTCCAGCCTGGTGCAAAAAAACAAAATAGGTCTGATTAGCAGCTCCTGTGTTCGTAATGTCTTGATGTTTTTGGGGTCTGGTGTCTTTGAAGAGAGTGATGCAACAGATGTTTATGGTTATAAAAATAATCTGCCGCTCAAAGAAAAAAGGTCTGTCTCTGTAGGGATCCTTTCTGTAATGATGTCAGACATATCGGAGTCTGCAAGTGACGAAAACAAGAACTTTTAGTGGATGCACTTTCATCCATCGAGGATGATGTTGCAGCCATTTCAACCTGTGTCACTGCTGCAGGATGAAGAATACTAACGGAGAGATTCTAAAACTTTTTCTACCCATTATTACTCACTTTACCAAAAATATTTAGAAAAAGGGCCATTGATTAAAAACACCAGAATGCCCCTTTACTGTGTCACCATGGACAGTGTTCACGCTGCAGCTTTTATATGCAAATCAGTCCAGACTCTGTTTCAAGTAAGACGCTCAGACTGTGGGAAATGCCCTGAAGTTGTGTTGTTGGAAAAGAGTTTTTAAATAAAAAAAAGGAGTGGTAGAGGTAGAGAGAGAGAGAGAGAGAGAGAGAAAGGGAGAGAGGGAGAAGGAAACAGGCACGACCACATTCCTTCTATCCGGTTTTATGACTTCAGACAGTCGATGGGGTGGGTGTAGAGGCGAGGGGAAAGCTGAACCACAAAAATCTAACTCTGAAAAAAAAAAAAAAAGCACAAGAATTGAAGGCAGCTCCTCGGCCCGGGACTGAGAGGAGTGTTTCCAGGCTGGGAGAGATAGAGAGCAGTGAGGGCGTGTCCGAATATATGATTTCAATTATTTACATGCTTACAAATCCCTCCCCCCTCCCCCACCCTCCCCTCACTCCCTCCCTTCTTCAACAGGTCATAAGTCTGGAACCGGGAAGCGTTGATGCCACACCCAATCAGAGACGCCATAGAGGATTGTTCCCTGATTCATCCTGAGTGACACAGAACTGAACGGATCCCAGATGCTCTGCATTAAACTGCACACAGAAACATGAGCAACACAATGAATGCACAAACACATCCCACACACTGAACTGTCAGCAAACATTCCCATCATGTTACACATCAGCAGCCTCCTGTAACAACACCGACAGAAACAAGACGAGGATTTTCAAGTACCAGCCAGGTCGACTGTTCATGTATCTTAAATATTAAATATCAACTTTAAATTAAAGGTGGATTTCAGCTGTTTTAACGTCCATAGAGTTTGTGGTTGTGAATGGGCGAGACTCACAAAATACAAATTAAAAACAGAATCATCAAAATCTGTGCAGGAGGATCAGAAAGCCTGACTTTAGTACTACTACATTTCCCATAATGCCTCTTACAATAAAAGCAGTTCTTACAACAACAGATTGTAAATGACAAATTGTAGAAGTCGCTGTAACGCCACCTATTGGACGATCATGATGTAGCTTCAGTTCAGCATTTCGGTCGTCGTCGCCAACCTGCTTTTCTTTAAACCAGAAGTGCCCATATTTGGACATAAGAGTGCCCATAAGGATTACATTACAGCCATGACAGACCAGTGGTCCGCTGACTTGAGGAGCCTCAGGACCCATCACCGCCTCCTTAATGAGAAATAACAAAAAATATTTCAGATATTTTAACCACCAAGATTTATTTAGAACAAGTAGTGCAGCCTGCACCCGGAGCGCGCAAACCTGACAGAAAAAAATAGATATTTTTTAAAGAGCTTCAAAGACTTTTTTTTCACACACATTTTCATGACCCACTGCAAATGGCTCTGCGAACCACTTCTGGGTCCTGACCCACAAGTTGAGAACCCCTGAATTAGACTACAAAGCGTAGTCCCTCTCAAGTCGATCCCCAGCTCCTGCAGCCACACGTCTGATGTGTCCTTGGGCAAGACACTTAACCCCAATTTGCTCCCTCTGCTTTGTCTGCGGCGTGTAAATGTAGGTGTGACCTGCGGTGTAAAAGCGCTTTGAGGAGTCAGAAGACTAGAAAAGAATGATACAAGCTCAAGTCCATTTACCATTCCCGCTCGTCAAAGCTTTGCACTGCAAAACATTTTTGGTGTTTTGCTCAGTTAGCGACCATTATTTGAACACTAGTTTTTGCAATGCATTGTGGGATACAATGAGTCGACACTGTAGGGTATGATGATGCTCATTAACTCGGACAGCACTACAAAATGATAAAGCAGCAAAACGTCAAGTATAGAATGAGCAATGTTTTATTTGTGACAAAAAACAGGTTAAAAAAATAATCTCAACATCTTCACTTTCTGATTTGTAGCAAATTAAATATTTTATTGAGTAATTTGTGTAAAACAGTGCGAGGCTGATTAACATGGTGGTGGTGTTAAAGTCAGTGGACAAAGATTGAGCTTCATGGCTCTGATACACTCAAAACCTTTTTCACATTTCTCTGTTTGCCCTCCATTAATCGTTCTTTCATCAACACCTTTTCTAAGTGACTTCATGTTCCTTTAAACCTTCATAAAAAAAGCTGAAGCTCTCCAACAGCTGGGTCATATCTGCCCACTGCAGAGTTTATTCTTACATCCTGCTATACTAAAAGCAGGGTTGGTCATTTTCTCCAGATACACTTTTTAAGATTTTGGTTGAAATGGTCTTCAGGTCCTGACAGACGATAATAACTCATGTTCTCTGAAACGGGAAACGAAGAAAATCCATCATCTGTAGCAGTTTGTAAGCCTGTAAAAACTTCAACCAATGCGTGCACAAGCAGACACTCAAAGTGCACGTAAGTGAGGGGCGTGGCTTTTGAGGAAGCACAGAGGGAATGTTTTTGAAAATGACCAACCCTGCCTTTAAGGTCCACAAACACATAAAAGACAGACAAATAAACTGTTCTTTAATTAAATGAGCTGCTGTTATTATTGAGTCTGCAGAATAAAGATGTCTCTGTTGTGTTCATGTTAGAAACTCTGTGCTGAGCTGCAGGTGAAACCCCTCCAGGTGTTCTTTCAGTTTCTCCCTCACATCCTCCTTCAGGTTAATGACGGACTGCTCACTGAGCTCTCCGTCAGCGCGCACACCCGCGCCGCTCTCCGTCAGGTTCCCAAAGTCTCCCTTAAGGTCCACCTCTGACACGAGAACAGTTTGTGAAATGTCAGAGCCCCCTGCTTTCTTTAGAACACGCTGTGCTCCGTCCTCAGCCGGGACGGGAACCAGAACCACCGAACCCTCAGCACAGTCCTGGATCCAAAAGAGCTGCTGAGCCACAGTGTCCCCGTCAGAGAGCAGAAACTTCTGCTGAGGGCCTAAAAACTGCTCATGGACGTCAGACACATGTTGCAGAGTTTGAGTTTGCAGCAGGATTGTGGAGTCTGTGTCTGAAGAATTGCTTTCTAAACTCCTCCCCGGGGAATTCACCAACATGTCTATTTGGGGGTTTTTAACCTTTTCAGCTGTGCAATGAAGATCCGTTTCGTCATTTCTGTGCGAGTCCTCATGCTCTGTGGGCTGCCCCTCTTCTCTGCTCTGTGAGACACATCCTGCGTCCTGTCCCTGTCCTCGTCCACAGTAAAAACACTGCCCCCTCTCCTCCTCCTCACACCAGCTGTTTGTGTCCTGAAGAAAACGACCTCCAAACTCCATCTGATCCACTCCTCTGTCCTCAAACACACCGGTATCCTCACCTTTAGCATCGTTCTCAGTTTCCTCCAGGTTACCTCCTCCTCTTCCTCGTCTCCTCTCCTCCCCTGGACCCCTGCGGTCTTTACAAACGTCCCTGGACACCAGCAGGGCCTGTTTCAGCCGTTTATCTCTCAGCCTGAGCATGGTGCTCCTCAGGCGGCTCTCCCTCCGCCGGGCCGCGTGCAGCTGTCGCAGAGTCTTCTCCAGACAGTCGATGGCCTGGTCGTAGCGCCTCCTCCACAGCAGGGGGCAGAGCTGAGCGTAGCTGTGCTCCTTGGACAGGTAGAAGCCCGGAGGAGGGGGCAGGCGTCTCATGTAGCGTGACGGGGAGACGGGCCGAGGCTCCGGTTCTGGTGGAGGAGGGCTGTGTTCGTCCTGTGGGAGCGGCTCCACCTCTGAAGACTCCGGAGGAGGTGCAGGTGTGTCTTCAGGAGTCTCTCCAGGTGCTGCCGCTGAGCTCTCACCTGTGGGTTCATCTGAAGGGAGGCTCTCATCATTCTCCTGGTATGCTAGGTGTGGACTCTTCCTGCAGAACAAAAGAGAAAGTGAAAAGGGATCTCTTGTATTTGTTCTTCCCCCTCATGGTCATGATCGGACACGGAGATGAAAAAACAACAAATGAAAGGACAAACACATTTGTTTGGTTTCAGGACAGTGATTGTACTTTGTCTCGCGTTTCCCCTGTAAGATTTGAGTTTAGCAGAGTTTTAAGAGCACTGGCTGTCAGGCTGACATTAAATCACGTTAACTGGCTTCTTTCTAAAGGCACAAGATTGTCCCCCGTTGGCCAGCACTCTGATTGCTCTAGGACCAGCCACGCCTCTGTACTTACGTCATGATGACATAAGACTGGTCAGTTGTTCCGTAGGTTAAAGCCATTTACATGAGTTCTCGCACAGCGGGGGATTTTATATCAGACCGGAAGGGGCTGCATTCAAACATCACCACTTCCCCTGAAGTTCCCTCTGGAAATGTCTGGAACTTTTCAGGAGATGTTCAAAGGTATGTTCGGTATTTCTATGACTGTTAGAACAGGTATCCTGAGAGTCGCACAGAGAGGCTTCTGATCTGGGGATCAGGTGTGTTTACCTGACAGGAGGGTCTTCTCGTTTCTGCAGCCTCCCCGCTCTCTTGGATTTGGTCGTTGTCGAAGAATCAAACACTGTAGGTAAAGCGTCTTCTCTCAGTCTCCTGATCCCACTGAGAAGGAAAATAAAAGGTCTTGCACAC